GAACCCGCCACCTTAGGTGTATGTGGCTGGCACCTTAGCCCGTTGAGCCATAGGCGCCAAACCACAATTTTATTTTTGAGACAGAGCCTCAAGCTGTCACCCTAGGTAGAGTGCCATGGCATCACAGCTCACAGCAACCTCCAACTCCTGGGCTCAAACGAGTGTCCTGCCTCTGCCTCCCAAGTAGCTGGGACTACAGGTGCCCACCAAGCCTGGCTATTTTTAGAGACAAGGTCTCACTCTGGCTCAGGCTGGTCTTGAACCTGTGAGCTCAGGCAATCCACCCACCTCAGCCTCTCAGAGTGCTAGGATCACAGGCGTGAGCCACTGTGTCCGGCCAAGGTTGCCATTTCTCTTGGGGGTGTGGCCGGGAAGCAGGACCTGCCCCGCTTGTTACTTGTTCCAACTAGAAAAAAGCCTCTTTCTCACTTCAAGTTTGGGGCCAATTCACTTTGCCTGCACCTGTGGATCTTCCCTTCTGTGGCTAAGGCTTTGGAGAACAGAAGTTACTAGAGCTTCCAGAGGCCTCCCACGTCTACCTCCTCTCCCCCTGACTCTTTCCCCAGGGGATTAGCCCTTTGAAAGGCAGAAAGACACTTATTTGCAGAAAGACAAGCACTCTTACTCTTCCTATCTTGTCACATTTCTGTAGAGGGTTCTGAAGGTACAACCTTAGTTTGTTGACTTGTAAACTCTTTCTTTAAAAAACTGCCTTATCTCCATTTGCCAGAAGTGTCAAAATAAATAAATGAATAAATGAATAAATAACTGCTTCATTGAGATATCATCCCCAAAGGAAACCTCATCCTTATTAGTCACTCCCCATAACCCCTCCCAAAACCCCTGGCAGCTGCCACTAATCTGCTTCCGATCTCTGGATTTGCCTGTTCTGGGCATTTCATATTATTGGAGTCATACATTGTGTGGCCTTTAGTGTCTGGCTTCTAGCACTCAGTGTCATATTTTTGAGGTTCATCCACAATGTAGCCAGTGTCAGTGCTTTGCTCCTTTTCATGGCTACGTAATATTCCACTGCATGGAAGGACCACATTTTGTCTTCCCATTCACCCTTCCCATTCAACCCAAGACATTTGGGTTGTTTCCACCTTTTGGCTGTTGTGAATACTGCTGTTATGGATATTTCTGTGCAAGTTAATATGTGGACATGTTTTCATTTCTCTTGGGTAAATACTGAGAGGTGGGGTTGCCTGGTCATATGATAACTCTGTTTAAAGTTTTGAGGAACCACCAGATTTTTTTCTAAAGCAGTTGCAACATTGTACGTTCTCACCAGTGCCTTCTGAGAACTCTGATTCTCCACATCCTCATCAACACCTGCTACTGTTCATTTTTGGGTTTTGTGGGGCTTTTTTATTTTTTTCAAAACAAGATCTTGCTGTTGCCCGGGTTGGAGTAGAATGCAGTGGTGTACTCATAGCTCACTGAAGCCTAAACTCCTGGGCTCAAATGATCCCTCTGCTTCAGCCTCCCAAGTAACTGGGACTACAAGTGTGTGTGCCACCATACCCAGCTAAGGATTATCTTTTCATCATTGATTTGTAAGAGTTTTTTGTTTTGTTATTTTTTGTGAGGCAATCTCTCTGGGTAGAGAGCCAAAGCGTCATAGCAACCTCAAACTGTTGGGCTCAAGTGATCCTCCTGCCTCAGCTTCAGGAGTACCCGGGACTACAGGCACCTGCCACAATGCCTAGCTAGTTTTTCTATTTTTGGTAGAGATAGGGGTCTCTCAGGATGGTCTTAAATTCCTGAGCTCAGACAATCTACCTGCCTTGTCCTCCCAGAGTGCTAGGATTACAGGCGTGAGCCAGTGCACCCAGACTGAACTGTAAGAGTTTAAATTATATTCTGGATATTGCCTCCTCATGGATATCTGATTTGCAAATATTGTCCCCAATTTTTGTGTTGTCTTTTTACTTTATTGCTAGTGTCTTTTGAAGCATAGAAGTTTTTAATTTTGATGAAGTCCAATTTATTTTTTCTTTTGTTGCTTATACTTTTTCTTTTCTTTTCTTTTCTTTTTCTTTTTTTTTTTTTTTTTTTT